TCAAACTGTAAAAGATACGTCTACCCAAGGGGCATACAGCCAGTCAGCTCCAAAATACTCATTATAGACCCGTATGTCTGGGCTGATTCATCCATCTTGCTCTGTGAAACTGCCCGTCTTCACAGAAAAAGAAATACCAAATGTAACCAGTTTTGGACATTTGATTGTTATAGTGTCATATTAAATTACCATTTCAACATTGGATTGTAAAATTGTTTATAAGTAAACATTGTTGTCCATGTTTTTGCTGGTTGTTCTAAAATGTACGCTGAATAAGAGGCATGCAATAAGTACATCCACCAAGCAGGATACCGAATGACAGAGGGAGTGAAACACATCCAGTGAATGAAGATAATTGACTAGACATCCTGTACACAACACAAAAATTCATGCAGACTCGAACTAGAGCTTTACACATATGATACCAGAGTCCTGCATTAGGGTAACGAGGAGTATCTCCAGCACAACAGACATGTGACAGAGGTACAAAGGGAGCATAAATTCTACTAAAACAAATATCAATTCTGTGCATGCCTGTAAATAAATCATTTAACACCGTGTGAATAGTTGCTTGTTGTGTGTATAGTACAGTAAATGTTACTGGCCAGTATGCTGTGTTGTCTGTATGACTGTTTTGTTCCTGTTTTTTCTTTGATTCCTCCTCTGCATCAGTGTTACAGAAGCTCCTCCATTAAGGGCGTATATACTGTACATCTCTTCACCTCACTGTTGCATTTGACCATTTTAGTAAACATTAGGCTTGCTTGTTTTCAGTTTTTGGTTTCATTAATGATGTATTAATAAAACATCACCTATTTTTAAATGTAATACCTGTACTCATATTTTGGTTGAAGTAGTTCAGGTGGGAAGCTGTGTCAGCACGCGTAGGCTGCAGAGGAACAAGTAAAGGTTTATTCCTGTTGAAAACGGAAGGAAACACAACATTACAGCTGTGGAGCCTTCTTTGGGTCTCATTTGGTCTCATGGGCATTTGGCCCATAGCACACCTGCACGTAAAGTCCCAAAGAGATAAAAGTGGAAAACAACCGTCCCTTTCTTATGCCACAGCAGTTTGTCATTCTTAAGTTGAGGCACAAGCGGATCTGATGACACCACAGTTTCGTTTGTAAAATCACAGGATGCTGTGAAAGTAAAGGTGCCAGGGTTTTGTTAACATGGACCTAAAGCCTACCTGCTTTACAAAATGAATAAATATGTAGTGTTTAAAAACTTCAGACCAAACCAACCAGACAGTGTGTGAATTGGAAGCAGAAATGTGCTAGTTTATTTACAACTTTACATGAGCACTTCTGAAAAACAGAAAAACCAAACTTCAGATTTAGGGCTAATTGCTGTTATTTAATTGCTCCTGTTTTCCCCAGATATTTTTTTCCGCTCATTCAAGGTCTACTGTGTGTAGACTCTCAGAGATTTCTTTGACCTTGAAAACTTGGGAAGTGAGAAAAGGGGGAGGCATTAATACGCTGGCAATGAGTTCTGCACTGGTTCCACAAACCAGTGGCCTGTCACCCCATTAACCCCAGATACAAGTGATCCCCAAAAGTGGTCATTTATTTCTCTTGGAGCATTCCAAAGTTCTTTTCACTACAGCTGTACAGAGTGACCCGCCTTAGGATACGTTTCGTGACCTCGGACAAAGACGTACGTGCTACCAAAAGGTGCTCATTAGGAAAGAGTAAGACAGTCAGACAACTGCATAATTGCAGCATCTTCCATTGCACATACAGATGCAAAATGACCTGTCTTGAGGTCCTGTTTTGGCCACTGGAAGATGGGGGTTGAATTTGTGCTTGCTGCATTCAGCAGAATCCTGTTTCCTTTTTCATCAACAGGACCGATACCAGTCAGAGAGAAACGGGATCAAGAGAGTCAGACCCTCCATCATTTTTGCACTCCCTTCCCCACTTTTTACTTTCCTTTGTTTTTGGGTTGGTAGGGTTATTAATATCATTGCCTAAGAAAATTCCAGAGGCCACAACAGCACAAGCATTTAAAAGGAAGTTCGCATTTGGAATCATAATGGTTTTGATATTATTTACTTAAATGACCATTAAAATAAACAATGTCTCCTAATCTGTGCAAAATGCACAGTACTAATGGTTAAGATAACAAGTAATGAGAAATGTTTTTTTTAATTCTGTAAACAGTACCATAATACCAAATGAATATAAATGTATATGTTTTTTATGTTATTTTCTCTAAGATTTTTCTTTGCTGTCATGATAACAGGGGTGGAAGTGCACAAAGCATTGTGGGATAAATAAAATAAACAGTTTATAATGTTTTGAGAATGTGGTTGTGTTTCAGATAGATACAAGATTTAAAAATTACAGTAAAAATTAAAATAATTCACTCTAAGGATCCACAGTAAGAAAGCAATGTACAAGAACACATCCTTAATTTTCACATACCATATACAGTATATAACTTGGAAGGAGAGACAACATTTTTCCAAAGTAAAGCTAAAATAACATTTTATCAGAGATTTCAAATTCGAGGAGAAAGATGTGGCTGTTTGTTGTCATGACTGCAAGGAAAGACAGAGTTCACAGCATTATGTGATAAATGTCACAAATTGCTCTCAGAGTAATGTTTCAGGATGCATGGAAAGACATTACTCAATGAGACGAGCTCCTGAGATAATAAAGTAAATTTAACAGGAATACAACTCAGCTTTCTTTTTATTAAACAAGAAAAAATGATAAACAGGCCGTCTGATAAACCACAAGCTAAGTGACAGATTATACTTGCAAGGAGTAGTGCATCTTAAAATAATAACAGTTCTTTTATCTTTTTCTCCCTCAATCTTTCCTGTTTTTTAGAACTGCTTTCAAAACTTGATTAATTAGGAGCTAATTCATCTTTGTTTTTTAATGTGTTGAAGTGCTGGGTTTAACATTTTCACTATATAAAGTACAAACATCTACAGTACATGCATATGTAAGACCACACTGTAACACAACTATTCAAGCTTATTTTTATATACAGTACCAGCTCCTGGCTTTTCTTTCACTTTTTTAGTGAAAGGTTTTTGACCTTTTTTAGTTTTCTATCAAACTTGCTATATTTTATCCGAACCATGTCAAGTATTAAACATCTCCGCCCTCACCTCATTTCCTCTTCCTTTATTCTGAACACATTTCTCTTTTACTGTGGTGGCTCAGAAGCCCATTTAACCAGCAGTATTTAAGCCCATGATCCCCTGATCTAGAGTCCAGAGTTTTTGATGATCATGTACTGTAACTCCTGTAAAGATGGGTGGTGGGGTGGAGGCATGGGTGGAGAGGGTAAAAAAAGAATAAATGTGTTTAATGTTAATTTGTTGATGCTGCCTTAATGATAAACTAAGTAGCATATTTTAGAAATTACATTTATTTCATTGGATTTATTATTTTAATAATACTAAGCTCTTATGTTTAATGCTTATACTAATTAGAAATTACCAACACACTTTTGTTTCATTATGAAATATCAAAATAAATAGTTGATTAATTCTGACAAAAATATTTCAGAAACTTCAGCTGAGTTTTATCCCTACTTTAACCAGAGAGGTCAGGCTGAGAACACATTTACATTTACAATGTCACGCTGGAGAGCCTCATTAATACGGCAAGGCTTTCAGGGGAGAAGATCACTGCGGGTCCTTTCTGAGGGGCACAACAGCAGAATTTGAGTTCCAGGCTCTAAACTCTACTTTATGCTGCTGCTGTGTACGCACACATTTTAAAAGACAAAAGTGGTATTATATGCTTAAGAAAATGTTAGGACATATTAATTAGTACTAATGAAAAATCTAGCTTGTTATGTACATATGGTACAATTATGCTTTTACAGCCTAATTATAATTAGGAATAAAACATAGAAGGTACTTCCACAAGATTTCCAGCAGCCCTCCTTAAAGCTTCAACATCTGCTGCTACAAATTAGCCCCTCAGCTGAGCTCCAGGAGACAACCACATCTAATTACCAATAAAATACCTCCCAAGTTTATTGCCATGAATTATTAAGACTTGATCTGAAGTGGACCAGGAATCAGACTTGAACTAAAAGGGCTATGAGGTATTACACTCTTCCTTTCAGATGTGTGATCATTTAATAAAGTAAATTTAACAGGAATACAACTCAGCTTTCTTTTTATTAAACAAGAAAGTTTTACCATTGGTTTTACCATTAGTGAAGGGTTTATAGGTCCGACTCAGATGTAGAGAAAATGATTTAGATAGTTCTTTATGGCAAACATCGCAATCCATTAAATATTAAAAACAGAATATGTATTATATTGCAAGTATTTTACCATGACATGGACAACATCATCAAACAGGATGACTATATTGCATTACGTCCACCTTGCATTGTATTTCTAGAATAAAATAAATGATGAAAATGAAAATTGCTCTAAGGCTATTAAAAGTCTAATGAATACATTTCACAATCATTGCTACACCAGTAGGAATTTGCACTGAATGTGAGAAAATTGGATTAGATAATTATATTGCTTTATTTACTCATTTGTAATTTATAAACCATAAAAACTGAAACAGAACATATATATATATAAGTAGTAGGCATGTTTTTTTGTATGAAACAAAATTTTATAAAAGTTCAATTTTGAATAGTCCAGTTTAAGTAAAATCTAATAAATTGTGATTATTTTCATTAAAAGATATTGAAAAATAGAAGAATAAATGCATTGATTTAGTAATTCTGCCAACAGCAGAAGCATTATATGATCACATGACACATACACATACGGTCATCAAACCTCGCCACTGTTTGACACAAACTGCTCTTTTGCTCATCTGAAAAGTCCCAAAAAGTACTAAAATTAAATTAAAATTGAAAATGAAAAATTAATCTCTAAATGTCTAACTGGCTGTGTAAATGAATATTAATCGGTATCTAACAAATGTTTGAAAGAAAAAAATGATTGTTGTCTATTAAAACAATTAACTTATTTTCTTTTATCTTTTCTTTCCAAGGTTACAAGCAAAAAGGTGCTCATTCCAACTACAGAGCTGATAGAATGGGGAGAAAGTGACAACGAAGAGAACTTGGCTCATGAAGCCGCCAGCCCACGGATTGTCAATCCTCTGCGCCTGTTTGCAAGAGGATCCCCAGGGCTCAAGCAGAACATCAGGGAAATAACATACCTGGAAAATGTCGAGGACTTCTGGGACTGGTTAGCTAACCAGACAGATGTCCAGGAGACTCATGCACGAACTAAACGCAGACCCATTGTGAAGACTGGAAAATTTAAAAAAATGTTTGGATGGGGTGACTTTCATTCAAACATTAAAACCGTCAAATTGAACCTGCTTATAACTGGCAAGATTGTGGATCACGGAAATGGCACATTCAGTGTTTATTTCAGGCACAACTCGACTGGCCTTGGGAATGTGTCCGTGAGTCTCGTGCCACCTTCCAAAGTGGTGGAGTTTGAAGTATCTCAGCAGTCAACACTGGAGACCAAGGATTCCAAGGCTTTCAACTGCCGTATAGAGTATGAGAAGACTGACAGAGCAAAGAAGACAGCGCTGTGCAACTTTGACCCTTCCAAGGTTTGCTACCAGGAGCACACGCAGAGCCATGTCTCTTGGCTATGTTCCAAGCCGTTTAAGGTCATATGCATCTACATTGCTTTCTACAGCGTTGATTACAAACTGGTGCAGAAGGTTTGCCCTGATTACAACTATCATAGTGACACTCCCTACTTCTCCTCAGGCTGATCATGCAGCGGCAGGTTGCCTAGATTGTCCATGAGTATAGACACCACTCTTGCTCCTGACCTTGTCCCTCCGACCGCTTGGCAGTCACACCATGCATCTCACATGCCCTCACTTTCCCTGCGAAGTTCCTGTACTGTAGGTCAAAAATAGACCTTTCCTATAATCTATCATCTGGAACCCAGCTAAAGACTTCACTGGGCTAAAATAAGCAACTAGAAACTCAGAACCTTTGGAAGTGTTCAATATAATAGTAGGTTCATTCACTCTTTCAGATGTATTCAAAGTACAGTACAATGAAAGTTTCCACTATTCTTCTGTTGTCAGTGTGTGTATTTGTATTGTACATCTCAAATACAGTATTCCTTAGAGACTGCCTACAACATCTTTTTGCTGTGTTTTCTGCCACAAGAACAAAATTCTGTTTCTTTTGGTGTGTGAGAAAGTACATTTTTTTCCCCAACAGAAAAGGCAAACAGACTCAATCAAACACAATTGTGTCATACGGACATTACACATAATGTAGATGGACAAAGACCATGACTCTACTCTACTGTTAAAGATGTCAAAAGCATATAGTAAGGACACAGAAACACTAGCACCAATTGAGCAGGTGCTTACAGAGCAAATACTAAGTTCAGAAGCTGTAAACATTACTGTTTTGACACAAACTATGCATTTGGCAACTATTTTTTGGTGCTGTTGTTGCACATTTTGTTTTTAAAAAATAGTACAGTTGTAAGAAAAAGTTTGAACCTCTTAGAATTACTTGGATTTCTGCATTAATTACTCATAAAAATGTGGTCTGAACTAAGTCACAATAATAGATAAACACAGTCTGCTTAAACTAATAACACACAAACAATTGTAGTTCTTCTTGTCAATATTGAACACATCGTTTAAACATTTACGGTCCAGGCTGGAAAATGTATGTGAACCCTTGTACTTAGTAACTGGTAGAACTCCTTTAGCAGCAATAACCTCCACTAAAGGTTTCCTGTAGCTGCTGATGAGACTTGCACAACGGTTAGGAGGAATTCTAGACCATTCCTCCTTCCAAAACTGTGTCAGTTCATTGATATTTCTGGGATTCCTTGCGTGAACAGCTCTCTTCAGGTCATGCCATATCATCTCAATTGGGTTGAGGTCTGGACTTGACCATTCCAGAACACTACTTTTCTTCTGTTTAAACCATTCTGTTGTTGATTTACTCCTGTGTTTTGGGTATTTGTCTCGTTGCATCACCAAACTTCTATTAAGCTTAAGTGATGGACCGCTACCCTGACATTCTCCTGTAAAACCTCTTGATACAATTTTGAATTCATTGTTCCCAAGACAGCTTGTTGGCAAGCTGTCTAGACCCTGAGGCAGCAAAGCAGCCCCAAACCATGATGCTCCCTCCACCATGCTTCACAGTTGGGATGAGGTTTTAATGTTGGTGTGCAGTGCTTTTTTCCCTCCAAACAATGCGTTGTGCGTTTCTGCCAAAGATTTCAACTTTTGTCTCATCCATCCACAGAACATTGTCCCAGAGGCATAGTGAAACATCTAGGTGGTGTTTTACAAACTTGAGATGGGCAGTAATGTTTTTTTTTTTTAGCACTGGTTTCCTCTGTGGTGTCTTTTCATTAACACCATTCTGGTTCAGTGTTTTTCTGATAATGGACATATGAACAGAGACTTGGGCAAGTTCAAGAAATTTCTGCTGGTCCTTTACTGTTACCCTAGGGTTCTTTTTCACCGCCTTCAGCATTGCACGCTGCACTCTTGCCCTGATCTTTGCAGGACGCCCACTCCTTGGGAGAGTAGCAACAGTACTGAATTTCCTCCATTTGTAGACAACTTGTCTTATTGTGGATTTATGAACACCAGGGCCTTTAGAAATGCTTTTGTAGCCTTTTCCAACTTTATGCGTCTCTACAATTCTTCTTCTAAGGTCCTCTGATATTTATTTTTGATCGGGCATGGTCCACATGAACAGCTCTTTCTTCAGAAGAGCAGACTCTGTCAGTAACCAACTTTGTGTGTGTTTTTTTGGGGGGGGGAAGGGCACCTGACTCCAATTTGCTTTTGGAGAAGTCATTAGCCTAGTGGTTCACATACTTTTCCAGCTTGGACTGTGAATGTTTAAACAATGTTTTCAGTACTGACAAGAAGAAGTACAATTGTTTGTGTGTTATAAGCTTAAGCAGATTGTGTTTGTCTATTACTGTGACTTAAAAGATCTGACCACATTTTTATGAGTAATTAATGCAGAAATCCAGGTAAATCCAGGTTCACAAACTTTTCTTACAACTGTATTACTTGTCTGTTTCTTATAACAAAACAAAACAAAATCCTGTTTTCTGTTACCACATCCTTCCACACCATCATCCAGACAGATCTTTCATTTTCTCCAATCCACTGAATCTGGACATGATTTTTATAGCTACTGTATCTAGGAAGATTAAGTATCATACTGACTCCCGACTCAATACAAGTTCAATTTATTTAGCTACAGAGCACAGACACAATTATGTCGAAAGGCATTCTGCTGTTCTGGAATATTACCATTTATGTCCAAGATTTTTTCAACCTTTAAAAGTGTTTTGTCTTGTTTTTTTTTTTAAAGCTGTGTAACCTTTTTAATCACAATGGTGTTACGGGGAGGTACAGTGCACAGTATTGAGAGTGCAGAGGTCTCTGGGTGGATATACTGTACAGGTCAAAGGACACATTTTGTAACTGAGTTGATGATACAAGAAGAACTTTGCAAATACAGCTATATCTTTTTTCCACAATATATTAGGAGGGACATTAATTGTATGCTAGCTATGTACATAAGCAGGTACCAATATAGCTGCATTATAGAAATTTTAAGCATTTGGACTATAGGAATGTCATAATCCATAAATATGTACCAAGCTAGATCCTTTATCATACACATATAAATAGGTATGTATAGACATAGTAATAGAAGCAAAAATCAATTTCTATATAATTATAATAATAACAATCAACTTCCATAAACCAGTCAAACACATACATGCATTTATATATTTATATATGTATAAAAAACAAATCACATCTCTCTGTCCTGGTTTGTTTGTACAGCAGGTCTTAAGTTGAGGTGCATATATTTTTAAGAGTCTGTACAGGGTGTTTTGTCATTTAAATTTAAATTGGTTATTGTAGTATAGTACATTTTACATGTATATTACAAATTGTTGCATAAGCTTTACTCTTTTCAACTTAGAATTATTAATTTATTAATATATTATTTTGTCATGAGCCGTATTTTGAGAGACAATAACTTTGAAACTAACTAGGGCTGTCAGCTGGGATCTGAGCTTGGCAACATGTTTGACATTTAGACCTCCAGAGATTTCCGCATCAGGGAGATCTCTAACACTAGTGATCAGACCCATGATAAACTGCTGCATGCTGTTAGCACACACCCTGAGTCACTGCCTGTCCCTCAGGTGTGGCTGGAGTTCATGTAGTATTCTTACAGGACACGACCAAGGGGTCTGTGGCTCAGTGGCTCCAAAAAGAACTATATAACAAGAAATTGTTTATGTTGAAGGTGATGTTTGTCTATAAATATTGAAATATTACTTCACATATTGTATTGTTTATTGTCATAACACAAATTGTATTATTAATAGCGAATTTTTGCATTTCAAGGAGAATTTCTATATTTAAAGTGAAAAATCAGTGCTGGAGTGTCAAAGAAACCCCCAATAAATTAAGCACCATACAAGTACAGGAAAATGTAAACTTAGCCAGCACCACAAAGACATTGCAGCAACAATGTTCCACATGACACTTCACAGGAGTCGTGTCAGCTTGGTGACATCACCAGAGCAGAGCATCATGTCAAAACTGAAACATGAGTCCTCTTGAACACCTGCTAGAGACACACAGTGAACAGCTACTTTCAAATCATCTAGTAGTACATCACCCCTGCACTGTTCTCCTGAGACAACAGAAACGCATTCCATTCAGTCCAGTCCTATATAACTAGCGATATGAAAATATTTACAGCAGACCATTCTACAACTCGGCTAAAAATTAACACACGGAGCAAAATACTTATTTATTGATTAAAAAATGCAACTTTAATCAATTAATGGAATAAAATAGTGAATTGTAAATATAATGCAATTTAAAAAAGAAAAATGCTTCTCGTTCTTGTTTTTTTTAAAGTATGATAAAATGTGTGTTTAGTATGGTATGTCTTACATTTCTAAAATGTCCCTGTTTTTCAGTTGTAGAAATATTCAGGTTCAGTTGAAGACAGGCCATGATTTAATTCATGCATGTCTTCTTTATTAGAGGCACCTGTATGTGCTGTTTTAAAAGGTACTGACAACAGCCAGTTTTCATGGTTTATATTGCATCTGTATGAAATTACATGTTAGAGTATAATTCCAAATTATAATTTTCAATTTTCACATGTTGTGTAAGTTTATTTGGCTGTGAAAGTTATGTTTTAGAATATGTAAAATATTATTCATTTAAATGTTGACTTTTAAAGCATTTATTTTGTTAAAATTAAATTTTGTTTGTTTAAACATACATGTATATTGTGTCTTTTAATTAATAAACTAATGTTTGGTTAAGCAAAAATTGAGATCCAATGTAGGCAATCAAATTCTGACTCAGTGACACAATATACAGTACCAGTGAGAACACTAACAAAGTTATAAGTGCAAGTTTTTCATTCTACTGACTCATCACCCACAGAGCAATGAGATGGTATTAAGTACCTAGTGAACATGGAGTTTGAAATAAAAATGGTTCAAAGGCAAAATATCACATACCACAGGACATTACCTGGAATACATCACAATGGGAAGTGTTATTTTAACTAGATGATATAAATCTCACGTTTTATTAAAGTACTGGAAGGATATGTAGATTTTGTTCATTATGTTCACTGTGTTTTCAGTAGCAGCATAGACTATACTAAACAACAATCCAGTGTAACATGTTTCCTTAATGTCCACTTTGCTCAGCTATTTCATCTGCAGTATTTCCAATATTTTTCAGGCTTATTATTACAAACAGGAAATACCAGAGAGAAAAGGACTTTAACCTGTCCTTGCTTGATAAATCCATAATGTTTTAACTGTTCAGATAAAAATGTAATATTAACGTATCTGTATATACTACTGTATATCTGGTTGGCATACAGTCAGTGAGGCAATTCCTCGTTTCCCTACCAGACCTGCTGTCCAGTGGAGCTGCTGGAGCAGAATGGCTGCTGTCTGCCAGCCTGGTGGGGCTGGAGTCCCCTTACATACTGCAGGTGCAGGGCTGCCGATCCTTCTGTGCTGAAAGTGCTGTGGACACACAATAAGTTATGGTCATGAGTACAATCAATTTCACTCTTACCAGTACAGGAAAATTCAATTTAATTAATATAAGGGAAGTAAGGAAGACTTGATTCACACGTTTGATAGGTCTGACATTCATCTCAGAGATGTGTGAATGGAGGCTGATGGTACGACTGTACACAGATTAAATAAGCTTTTCATCATATATACTTGTACATTCAAAAAACTATATCCAGTATATATATACTCAGATGTGTAAACGTCTGAGGTATCTTCGCCACAATCAGGAATTGCAATGCCTAAATGTTATACATCAACAACTTACTCAAAGCCTCCTCTACTAATTTCCCCTATTATGACAACTGTGACTATTGTTAATGCAGACTAGTTTGGGTAAGAAGAAAACAAGTTTATCATTTAGCAATGCACCAATAAGAATCTACAAAAAACAGATCATAACAACAAGGTAAACTATACATGAGCCTTATGAAGTGTTGTAGTAATTAATCCGTCACATTTTTTAATAAAATCAAATTGACTCAGTGTCAGGCATTCCTGTCTCTTGGTATCATGTGTTCGTCTCTAAGCATTTGTAAAGCTACATGGCTACCTTTTGTATTATGAAATATTGCACAATCAGGATAAACGGTTCATTTCGTTCAGATAAACAATAAAAATGCAGTTTCTATACAAAGGAGGAAAAACATTTTGTTAAAAAAACTATATTATAGATAATGTCTTAAATGTTAAACAGTTTTAACTCCAGAACTATTGGGACAGTAAAAAAAAACTTTTCACTACAAACTAATAAGAATTTCTCATGAAAACTCATTATAGATAATTAAAAAATATTTTATTTTTAGTCAATTTGGTTTTGCCTGTTTGACTGTCAGACTTGTCAAGGAAAACCCTGAAACAACGGGCTGAAATCTCTAACAACCTCCAGGGTGCAGGGGTGAAGTTATCAAAATCCACAGTTTACTAAAGATTAAGACTGCAGAATTACAAAGGCTGTATTACAGGTTTTTAAACTGCCCATCAACACCAGGAACAGAAAAGTCAGGTTAGAATGGGCTCAGAAATACAAAGATGAACCCAAAGAGTTTTATGAACATATAAGATTAAGATAAACCATTCCCACACTGATGAAAAAGTAAATGTGTGGAGGAAATCTCCAGATTTAAATTTAAATGTATATGCTGAAGACAAACTGAAGTCAGAACACCCCAAGAATAGATGAGAACTCAAAGTGACACCTGCAGAGCGTCTCACATTATTACACAGATAGTCTCCAGACTTAATACAGTTATTGCCTCAAAGGGATAATCAACCAAATATTGACATAAGCTATGAAATTGACTTAAATTGAACGTGTAAAGCATTGTATAGAGAAAAGCAATGTTTGTCATACATACAATCTAAAAAACATCCTACTGTACATACATAGATTCTATAAATGTTTTGTATTCCCATACAACTTCTGTTCAGTTCAAGCTTTATCATGCCCTATGGGAAATGTGTTTGTTGTAGAGTCCAACACAACAATACAAAAAAAAAAACAACCATCACCAACAAAGAGATCGTGACAGATATTTCAGGAAATAAAATTATTGTTTTACACTATTTAAGAGTGAAAATGTAGATGGGAGTAGTGTATATTCAGTGTCTCTAGTATGTTGGCCTTCTTGAGATCTCTTTGCTTGTAGAGATCATTTAGGTTCGCAAAATCTGATTTGATTTACCCCAGTGATTTTGCAACTTACATTACAATAACTGTTTTACTCAACAGCACTGATTTTCCAAATCAACATATAACAGAAATAAATTTTCAATTCATGTTTTGTAGTATTAAAAATAGCTCTGTCCAT